AATAGTGTTGTTTTCTCAACTTTCCTGCTACTGTGGCATATTTTCTTGAAAATACATCTTGTAACACATAAACCAATTGTCATCATAACCGGCATATGCTGGCATAATCTGGCCACATAGCCAATAGAGAAAGCACTTGCCTAGAATGCTCACAATGGCAGTGTTCAATCCCTAGCACTGCCTACAAAATTCAAAATCCATTGACTTTTAAAAGATATTCCTTGAACCTCTTACATACTGTTTCAAGACACATTCACATTAAGTGGCAGATACTTAAAGGTAACAGGAAGACAATATGTGAATTGTCTAATATGTCTAAATTGAAAAATTACAGAATGGAAAAAAACAGATAACCTTAATTACATTTAGTCACAAAAAATTAATGAAGGTAATTGGATATTGCATTTTTGGTTTTATACATAATCACATTGCCATATAATAATACATAGCAAAAAATGATGCGTTTCCTATAACAACTGAAAAACAATCCATTTTACAACAGAGCCAACTTGCTGTTAAGTGGGTATAGAGGATATGTGGACTAGGTTAAACATCATTTTCTTATTTATACAAAAATATTACATTCGTCAATGGCTCATGCTAAAAAACAAACAAACATGTTTCAGATGATAGGGTTTGAGACTGTAATTTCTTAGAAAGAACTTAACAGATTTTAAATTCTACAAATGTTAAGAAACAAATTAAGAAAGAATATAACTGCATTTATATTGGATTTCCTTGGCTTTTTTTTCTGGAAAAAAAACTTGTTACTCTTTTTCAATTAGGGTAGGACCAATAGAGTATTCACTATTAATCTTACCTGTACTGATCTGGACAGGCTTTTTAAGTAGCGATTGTAGCTCTCCTGAAGTTCTTACTTCACTGTAACATATTTTAAAAGTGATAATTTAATAGCCATTTTAAAAAACATTTACCCAATGATTTGAATTTGTTGTTGTTTCAGTTCATAACATAACTTACACTCTAAATTTACAAACAGCTACTAATACGTACTTCAATATTTTGACTGGAGTGGGTGACTCTTTCCTTACAACTTTTTCTTGTGTTGAAGAAAAAAAAGAACTGAGCCACAAAAAAAAATACCTCAACAAAAGTACAGAGAGACAGAGAGAAACAGAGAGACAGAGACAGGGCTAGAGACAGAGAGACAGAGAGAAAGAGAGACAGAGAGTCAGACAGAGGCAGACAGAAGAGACACTGGTTCTTTCACAGCCTTTGTTCGATGGCTACAGTAACTGGTCGTCTATAGTCACATGTTCAATGGAATTAATATCCTGTCTCCATCCCCATTCCTTGCCCTTAGAGCACTACAGCACCTTCTTTGTCATATTTTTGGCATTTCAGTGACTGTGGTGTTCCCTCCCAAGAGCTTGATTTTCAGACCATGGAATAGAGTCCCGCTTCTGCTAACACTCTAACTTCCAAACCTTTCCTTGACAGCCCATTCAGGAGGGAATCCTGCACCACAATCTGGCTGTTTATGTGCTAAACAAGGATTTCTACAAAGACCAATCAAGGTAATAACATGAAGACAAAAATAAAACCTGGTGGATAATTTTTGTTATTTGATATGGAACTATTTAGAATTCCAAGTAGAATTTAACATTCAAGGTGTGTCTTTGAAATGTAGCTACCAGAAAATTATGAATCATTACATTGGTAATTAACTCTTCCAACTTGGGGATCTTTTAACTTGGAGTAAATCAGCTATTTCATAATATGTAACAGATGTTTTATTATATACAGCCCCATTAAAGAAGATAACAATGTCCTCTATTATGGACCTAGTCAACTATACCGAGGACAGAACTGGCTTGAAATGAAGGTTAAATTCTCTACCTAAGCAGTGTCTAGGCTAGCAGATCATGGACACAAATGTGCTTTCACCTCTGTGTTTATGTCCAAATAACATGGAAGGAAAATACTCTTTATACAGAGATAACTAGTAGTCTTGTTGTAGTTAAGATTTGAGATTCATAGGACTCATTAGGGGGAAAACAGATTACTGATGAAACAAATGATGAATGGAGCTCTTCTGGGAAAAGGATGGAATGTGTCTTTACCATGTAAAATTGTGTGCTATACCTGATACAAGGATACTTTGCATGTAATTCCGGTATCAGAGAAGGAAAGCCAAATGTTGGCTGCCTCTGATAGCTTCTGATAATTCAGAATGATCCCAAATCATGTATGCTCTCAGAAAAGATAAATGTCAAAAATGATAACTGCTAGTGAAAGTCTAGGTTCAATGCTGACTTCAGAATGTTTTTGAATAAGTAAGGAGAGTCGATTTGATATTAATAAGTGTGAGTAACACAAAAGGTTCCTTTTCCAATGCAGAGAGTTAGCGCTTGGGAAATGATCATTGAGTGTAAAACTTGTGTCTATATGAACAAAAATGAACAAGTTGTCAGTCTAAAATTATATTCATAATACCATAGGGACTGTAAGACACAGCAAGCATCCAGTAGAGAGTACCTAACTCAGAGCACACCAAACAGGAATTAGTCTCTTATCTTTGAATTTCTCTAATGTTAATGTACTGTTAAATCTCTTAAATCTTACTTGCAGAGAGGCTTTGGATCAGTACTGTGGTGCACTTCTAAAGATAAAGAAAAATGGGTTTATTATAACTCCACAAAATATATAAATGGAAATAAACTCATTGTCAATATCAATTCCATTAAGATCAATGTGTAGACTATTCTAGAGTTCAGTTGTAGGCAATTAATTCAGAGAGAGCTCTTACTTCCATTCACAGTATATTTAAACTCAAAGAGAGAGCAATCTATCTAGCATTAATGCCTAAAAATAAACTCCTGTGCAGATCTGTGATGATCCTAACTAAACAATCTCAGACAGAGAGAGCAGCATCCTTACTAGACTCAGGACCTCAAACTGACTGAGTCACAAAATAGCTTCTTGTTGTTGTTTGACTCTGGGCTAAATGTACTAGAAAGAATTCTTGATTTGGTGTGGTGGTGCACACACTTAACACAAGGGGAGCAGCAGAGTCAGAGAGATTTCTGTGAATTCTAGGACAGCCAGAACTTCATAACAAAATATTAGTCACATAACATAAAGAATCAAAAAGGAAAATTTCTTAAACTGTAAAATCGTATTTCTTTTCCTTCAAAAACACAAAGAAGTTTCTTCAGCTTTTTAGCTGATATTGTTCAGTTTTGGTAAAAAGCCCCAGCACAGGAAGCTGGGTGTACAGCAACTGTTCTTTAGCTGATATTGTTCAGTTTAGGTAAAAAGCCCTAGCCCGGGAAGCTGGGTGTACAGCAACTGTCCTTTGCAGCATGATGAAACACGGTGGACAGAAACAGACCAGGGACAAAGACCTTCACAAAAAGCTGAAGAGGGAACAATGTGCATACTCTCCTCATCCTTTTTGGGAAAGAGGCCCCTTAGTTCCAGCTCAGTTCACAAACTCATGTGCAGCTTAAAACATGGTCATTACAGTGTTCATCATCTCCCATAAAAACAGTTGTTGGAATGAATCCTCCAAGTAGTTATGTACGGTGAGCTGTATCTCACAGTGAGAGAGCAACAGGAACATCAGTGGGGTGGAACACCACATCCCATGGGTCACCTGCTGACCTGGAATCAATTGACATGTCTGTGTCCACAATATATGAACTCACTCAAGTTTTCACTGTACACTGACAGTTTGTCTTTCATCAATGAAAATTACTCCTCTTTTTGTCTTGTTTCAAGAGAAACTTTCTGTATCTTCTTAGCATTCCCCATGACTCAGGAAGGGCATCTGACCCACTATCAAATGGGCTGAGACTGTGGCTCAGTGGTAAAGCCTACGCCTATCATGTGGGAGCCTCAGTCAGCCCTCATCACTATAAGTGCAGAGAACAACAAAATTCACAGTAACATGATACTAGAAATTTACCTGCATTACCATAATACTGACTCTTTTTGTCTTACCTCTGAAGGGAAGAAGGCATTTGGATTTACTACCTAGTGTGGCTGCCAGTGGCCAGTTAGATATAAGAGACACTGTGATGACAGTTATTGAAATACAAACTCTGTAGTGTTCCTTCCACTGTCAGAGAGTCTCCCTAGACTCAGTGGAGATGCAGCTAATTCTTTGACATACAGAATGATGTCATGGGCTCAACTCTCCCTTCATGTCCAAAGTTTCTCTGGAAATTGTGCTTTTCAGTGTGTAAGCCATGTTTTTATCATACCCTTATGTACTTTACAAAACACAAGGGAAAATGTTATAAGGGTAGAATAAATATGAAGGGTGCAAGCTAGAATATTCACAAGGCCATGCATTCAATCCCAGAACTTCAAAAACCCAAAACCAAAGAAAGAAACAAAGAAGAGAAGAACATATAAGGATTGACAGTCTTCTTAAAGTCTATTACACTTTCTATGACTCAGCATTGTCAGTCTACTATGGGACAGGACTAAAGATAAACTTAATTAAGCGTGTGGAATCTATCTCAAGTGACAAATTGCAAGATAAATAAAACACCAAGATGACTGTAATTACCTCATTAGGCAAGAAATTAATTAAAGTGACTGATTATTAAGTTTGTGACATAATTACATTTTAGTAATTTTCAAGTTTGTAATCATATGCAGTACAAAGGATGAAGCATTTGTTATAAAAACTGAGAGAAAAAATCAGTTTTTATAACAGTCCAATTTGCTAGTGTGCTTATGGAGGTCCCCTGCCAGGTTAAGAAGTTTTCTCCTTTATACAAAGACAGGACATGTATCAGTGTCAAATCAAATGAGCAACATTTTTGATGGTATGTTTTCATGGTTGAAAGTGCTTAGAAATGTTTAATTGATTCTGATATTTCCAGAATAGTAGGAAACAAAATTTAAAATAAAATAACTGCATTTATATTTGATTTCCTTAACTCCTTTCAGGGCGTTAAAATTTTTACTCTTATTTGTTTTATTTAGGGTAGTTAGGGACAGATAGAGTAGTTCACTCTAAAAATCTTACCTCTGTTGAGTCTCAAATGCTCTTTGTTTCTCTGTTCTGGCTCCTTGGCAGATGTTCTTTTGCTGTGACATATGTTAAAAGTGATCATTATTGTACTATTAGTATGAAAGGCATTTAGCAAGTGCTCTAAATGCTTTACTTTTGAGTCCCTATCTGATATAGGATCTCACTATGTAACCCAGCTGACCCGAAACCTAGTATGTGGACCATGTAAGCCTTGAACTTACAGAGATATGCCTGCCTTCTGCCTCCTGAGTTCTGAGATTAAAGCCTTTGGCAAAACTCTGGCAGTTAACTCAGATTTTTCTCTGTTTAAGCAATGAGGTATACACCATAGGCTTTAAGAAGAAATTTTAAATTCTCTAAAATTGAACGAATTTAAAATATTCCATGCTAGATATACATTGAACGACATACTCAGAAAGAAACCAGTAGCTATAAGTACCTACATTAAAAAGAGTCAGAACGATCTCAAAAAACTTAATGATGCATCTTAGGGCTTCAGAGAAACGAGGACCCAGCAAAGCCAAATTAGTACATGGAACGCGACATGAGGGCAGAAATTAATGATCACATACAGGAGGGGCAGGGGTTCTTCCACACACTTTGTTCCCATGGCTGCAGTAACTGCCGACTTTGTTTATGTGCTCAATGCACTTAATGCTCCTGTTTAATTCCTTTCCCACACCCTAGAGCACCATGGTCCCTTCACTATCAGGAAACTTTTTAGGTATTTCGCTGAGTCTCATGCTACCTCCCAAGAGGTTGGTGGGTAGAACATGAAACAGATTCATAGCTCTAAGCGCTGAAGGGCCAGCACTCTCAGAAGCCACCACATTTTTGGTGCTTTAAAGCTGCTTTTTGATAGTCTATTCACAAGTATATGATGAAGCTGTCAAATGGCTATTTTTATGCTCAACAAGCAATTCTGTAATGCTGAGTCTTTATAGCACAGTGGGGAGCAACGCTGTCCCCTCAGCACCACTTTATCCAAACTACAGATCAGAACTCCAGACTTCAGGGCTTGTTGTTGGTAATAATAAACCACTTCATTCTCCTACCTTCCACCGACCTTGGTTTTCAGCACCGTTGTGGAACTCATTGAGGAGGCTCTTTATGTCTGTGCGGAACATGTCCATAAGGCCATTCTGAAGGGAACTTCAGCAATGCCTGGGAGAGTCTTGAACCCTGCCTTGTTACTCACACTCTTGCCAACAGATAACTTGGCCCAAACATACTAGTGATCAGAATTAATGACCTGAAACTGATATTTTAAATACATGTGCATGGTATGTTATGGGCAGTGCACTTGCATGCATATGTGATTTCAGGTACATACATGCATGCCAGGGTGCATAGTTTGGCAATTAGAGTACAAACTGCAGGGAAGGTCAACCTTCACCTTCAACCTTGTTTTTGTTGCTGTGTCTTGTCCATCAATGCACACCCCCAAATAATTATTGAGTCAACTTTGGGGGATTCTCTGTCTCCCTTCCAACTCACTCGAAGCTCCTCAAGATTACAGATGCACATGAGACCATCAGGCCTCATGTGACTTCTGGGCATCCAAGCTCCCAGTCTGACACATGCAGGGCAAGCACTTTCTCTACTGAACCATCTCTCTAGCCATGGATTCTTAACAGTATTTCACACTGCATCAGGTGTAATCAGTAATTGCAAAATTGTGTGCTCTACCAATAATTATTCAGCTTGTGAATAAAGGAGGAATAAAGATGGTGAAATTGACTTGTACAGAGGAAAACAGTGTGATTTCCAAATTTGATATCTCCAGATATTCAGTGTATTTTAAAACCCATATACGCTTACCTGATTGGAGTCTTCAGTTCAGTTCCTGCATTCACTATGAAAGAAAAAGACAAAATGTATTATAAATAACTGCAGAAAATACAACTATTAAATGCCAAGGCTAAAGTTTTGCTACCACATATACTTTGACACCAATTCTGGATAGTCTTTCATGCAAATATTGATATATATAAAATAAATACATGGAGAACTCTTAATTTCCATTTTCCTGTATATTTCAAAGGCAAAGAGACAACATTACCAGAAGTTAATAATCATAACAAATTGTGCAAATATATATGACCCTATTAGACAGAGGAACTGGCATCTACACCAGATCAGTATTCCAAACTGAACCTTGTTGCTGTTGCTCTTTTGTCTGTGGACTAATGGTGCTAGGAATTATGAGTATTCCCATCTTGTATAGGAGTGAAAGGAGTTTCTCCAAGGATTGAGTTTAACTTGCTCCATTGAGGATGAAAATTCCAGACACAAGGAAGCTAAGTCTATGATGACTGCCCTCTGCAGCATAGCAGAACATAGGAGATGCAAACAGACCAAGGACAAACACCTTTGGGAAGAATTTCCACCTGCCAGTGTGGCAAAGCTCCAGAGAGGTCAGTGTGCTTTGTCTCCTTGTCCCCATCTGAGGAGGATTCTAAGAAGCCCCTCCATTCTAGCTAGAGTACCTCATGCCTGTGCAGTGTAAAGGAGCTCAGCAACAGCTCCCTTCACCTCCCACCATAAGAACAACTGGAAAGGACGTCCCTTAGCAGTTATGCACCCTGAACTGGATCACCAGTCAGAGAATTGTGGAAGAAGCATGGGCACAAAGCAGCCATTTCAAGGGAGTAGTATCTCACATGAAACGCTTTTATGTTTCCACATGTAAACCATCAATGAGATGAGCTTTCACTCTATGCTAACACTCTGCCCTCCAAAAAGAAAGAAAATCAATTCCTGTTGGCTTCATTTGCAGTATGCAAAATGTCATTTCCTTCACCCTGTCCATGACTGAGGTGAGCATTTGTCCCAGCAGTAAATGGACTGAGAATGCAGCTCAGTGCTAGAGCCTACATTCAGCATGTGGGAGGCCTTGGTCAGTCCTCATCACCACAAGGGAGGTTCAATAATATCGTGTTGAAATAATGTAAAAGAAAGTCACCCACGTTATAGTAATACTGGCTGCCACTTTTCACCTCATCTCTTATGTGAAGAGGGGCATTCCAATTCATCTACACTATCACTCCCTGGTTTGCCTTCCAAAGGCAAGATAGGTGTGAAAGATTCTGTGGTTACAGTTGCTGAAAGCACAAATCTTGTAGCATTCTCTCCACTGTTAGAATCTTATCCAGACTCAGTGGGCCAGGACCCTGTCGTCAATGTTGCCTACTTGATAATAGTGTTGTTTTGTCAACTTTCCTGCTACTGTGGCATATTTTCTTGAAAATACATCTTGTAACACATAAACCAATTGTCATCATAACCGGCATATGCTGGCATAATCTGGCCACATAGCCAATAGGGAAAGCACTTGCCTAGAATGCTCACAATGGCAGTGTTCAATTCCTAGCACTGCCTACAAAATTCAAAATCCATTGACTTTTAAAAGATATTCCTTGAACCTCTTACATACTGTTTCAAGACACATTCACATTAAGTGGCAGATACATAAGGTAACAGTAAGACAATATGTGAATTGTCTAATATGTCTAAGTTGAAAAATTACAGAATGGAAAAAAAAACAGATAACCTTAATTACAATTAGTCACAAAAAATTATTGAAGGTAATTGGATACTGCATTCTTGGTTTTATACATAATCACATTGCTATATAATAATACATAGCAAAAAATGATGCGTTTAGTATAAGAACTGAAAAACAATCTATTTTATAACAGATCCATCTTGCTATTAAGTGGATATAGAGGATATTTGGACTAGGTTAAACATCATTTTCTTTTTTATACAAAAATATTACATTTGTCAATGGCTCATGTTAAAAAACAAACAAACATGTTTCAGATGATAGGGATTTAGAATGAAATTTCTTAGAAAGAACTTAACAGATTTTAAATTCTACAAATGTTAAGAAGCAATTTAAGAATGGATATAACTGCATTTATATTGGATTTCCTTGGCTTTTATTTCTGGAAAAAAAAACTTGTTACTCTTTTTCAATTAGGGTAGGACCAATAGAGTATTCACTATTAATCTTACCTGTACTGATCTGGACAGGCTTTTTAAGTAGCGATTGTAGCTCTCCTGGAGTTCTTACTTCACTGTGACATATTTTAAAAGTGATAATTTAATAACCATTTTAAAAAACATTTACCTAATGATTTGAATTTGTTTTTGTTTCAGTTCATAACATAACTTACACTCTAAATTTACAAACAGCTACTAATACGTTCTTCAATATTTTGACTGGAGTGGGTGAATCTTTCCTTACACCAATTTTCTTGTGTTGAAGAAAAGAAAGAACTGAGCCACAAAAAAATACCTCAACAAAAGTACAGAGAGACAGAGAGAAACAGAGAGACAGAGACAGGGCTAGAGACAGAGAGACAGAGAGAAAGAGAGACAGAGAGTCAGAGACAGGCAGACAGAAGAGACACTGGTTCTTTCACAGCCTTTGTTTGATGGCTATAGTAACTGGTGGTTCTATAGTCACATGCTCAATGGAATTAATATCCTGTCTCCATCCCCATTCCTTACCCTTAGAGCACCACAGCACCTTCTTTGTCATACTTTTGGCATGTCATTGACTGTGGTGTTCCCTCCCAAGAGCTTGATTTTCAGACCATGGAGTAGAGTCCCGCTTCTGCTAACACTATAACTTCCAAACCTTTCCTTGACAGCCCATTCAGGAGGGAATCCTGCACCACAATCTGGCTGTTTATGTGCTAAACAAGGATTTCTACAAAGACCAATCAAGGTAATAACATGAAGACAAAAATAAAACCTGGTGGATAATTTTTGTTATTTGATGTGTAACTATTTAGAATTCCAAGTAGAACTTAACATTCAAGGTGTGTCTTTGAAATGTAGCTACCAGAAAATTATGAATCTTTACATGGGTAATTAACTCTGCCAACTTGGGGATCTTTTAACTTGGAGTAAATCAGCTATTTCATAATATGTAACAGATGTTTTATTATATACAGCCCCATTAAAGAAGATAACAATGTCCTCTATTATGGACCTAGTCTACTATACCGAGGACAGATCTGGCTTGAAATGAAGGTTAAATTCTCTACCTAAGCAGAGTCTAGGCTAGCAGATCATGGACACAAATGTGCTTTCACCTCTGTGTTTATGTCCAAATAACATGGAAGGAAAAAACTCTTTATACTGAGATAACTAGTAGTCTTGTTGTGGTTAAGATTTGAGATTCATAGGACTCATTATGGGGAAAAACAGATCACTGATGAAACAATTGATGAATGGAGCTCTTCTGGGAAAAGGATGGAGTGGGTCTTCACCATCTAAAATTGGGTGCTGTACCTGATACAAAGGGACTTTGCATGTAATTCCAGTATCAGAGAAGGAAAGCCAAATGTTGGCTGCCTCTGATAGCTTCTGATAATTCAGAATGATCCCAAATCATGTATGATCTCAGAAAAGATAAATGTCAAAAATGATAACTGCTAGTGAAAGTCTAGGTTCAATACTGACTTCAGAATGTTTTTGAATAAGTAAGGAGAGTCGATTTGATATTAATAAGTGTGAGTAACACAAAAGGTTCCTTTTCCAAAGCAGAGAGTTAGTGCTTGGGAAATGATAGTTGAGTGTAAAACTTGTGTCTATATGAACAAAAATGAACAAGTTCTCAGTCTAAAATTATATTCATAATACCATAGGGACTGTAAGACACAGCAAGCATCCAGTATAGAGTACCTAACTCAGAGCACACCAAACAGGAATTAGTCTCTTATCTTTCAATTTCTCTAATGTTAATGTACTGTTAAATCTCTTAAATCTTACTTGCAGAGAGACTTTGGATCAGTACTGTGATGCACTTCTAAAAATAAAGAAAAATAGGTTTATTATAACTCCACAAAAATATATAAATGGAAATAAACTCATTGTCAATATCAATTCCATTAAGATCAATGTGTAGACTATTCTAGAGTAAACGTTCAGTTGTGGGCAATTAATTCCGAGAGCTCTTACTTCCATTCACAGTATATTTAAACTCAAAGAGAGAGCAATCTATCAAGCATTAATGCCTAAAAATAAACTCCTATGCAGATCTGTGATGATCCTAACTAAACAACCTCAGACAGAGAGAGCAGCATACTTACCAGACTCAGGACCTCAAACTGACTGAGTCACAAAATAGCTTCTTGTTGTTGTTTGACCCTGGGCTAAATGTACTAGAAAGAATTCTTGATTTGGTGTGGTGGTGCACACCCTTAACACAAGGGGGGCAGCAGAGCCAGAGAGATTTCTGTGAGTTCTAGGTCAGCCAGAGTTTCATAACAAAAAGATTAGTCACATAACATAAAAAACCAAAAAGGAAAATTTCTTAAACTGTATAATCCTATTTCTTTTCCTTCAAAAACACAAAGAAGTTTCTTCAGCTTTTTAGCTGATATTGTTCAGTTTAGGTAAAAAGCCCCAGCACGGGAAGCTGGGTGTACAGCAACTGTCCTTTGCAGCATGATGAAACAAGGTGGACAGAAACAGACCAGGGACAAAGACCTTTACAAAAAGCTGAAGAGGGAACAATGTGCATACTCTCCTCATCCTTTTTGGGAAAGAGGCCCTTTAGTTCCAGCTCAGTTCACAAACTCATGTGTAGCTTAAAACATGGTCATTACAGTGTTCATCATCTCCCATAAAAACAGTATTGGAATGAATCCTCCAAGTAGTTATGTACGGTGAGCTGTATCTCACAGTGAGAGAGCAACAGGAACATCAGTGGGGTGGAGCACCACATCCCATGGGTCACCTGCTGACCTGGAATCAATTGACATGTCTGTGTCCACAATATAGGAACTCACTCAAGTTTTCACTGTACACTGACAGTTTGTCTTTCATCAATGAAAATTACTCCTCTTTTTGTCTTGTTTCAAGAGAAACTTTCTGTATCTTCTTAGCATTCCCCATGACTCAGGAAGGGCATCTGACCCACTATCAAATGGGCTGAGACTGTGGCTCAGTGGTAAAGCCTACGCCTATCATGTGGGAGCCCTCAGTCAGCCCTCATCACTGTAAGTGCAGAGAACAACAAAATTCACAGTAACATGATACTAGAAATTTACCTCCATTACCATAATACTGACTCTTTTTGTCTTACCTCTGAAGGGAAGAAGGCATTTGGATTTCCTACCTAGTGTGGCTGCCAGTGGCAAGTTAGGTATAAAAGACACTGTGATGACAGTTATTGAAATACAAACTCTGCAGTGTTCCTTCCACTGTCAGAGAGTCTCTCTAGACTCAGTGGAGATGCAGCTTATTCTGTGACATACAGAATGATGTCATTGGCTCAACTCTCCCTTCATGTCCAAAGTTTCTCTGGAAATTGTGCTTTTCAGTGTGTAAGCCATGTTTTTAGCATACCCTTATGTACTTAACAAAACAAAAGGGAAAACGTTATAAGGGTAAAATAAATATAAAGGGTGCAACCTAGAATATTCACAAGTCCATGCATTCAATTCCAGAACTTCAAAAACGCAAAACCAAAGAAAGAAACAAAGAACAGAAGAATATATAAGGATTGACAGTCTTCTTAAAGTCTATTACACTTTCTATGACTCAGCATTGTCAGTCTACTATGGGACAGGACTAAAGATAAACTTAATTAAGCATGTGGAATCTATCACAAGTGAGAAATTGCAAGATAGATAAAACACCAAGATGACTGTGATTACCTCATTAGGCAAGAAATTAATTAAAGTGACTGATTATTAAGTTTGTGACATAATTACATTTTAGTAACATTCATGTTTGTAATCATATGCAGTACAAAGGATGAAGCATTTGTTATAAAAACTGAAAGAAAAAATCAGTTTTTATAACAGTCCAATTTGCTAGTGTGCTTATGGAGGTCCCCTGCCAGGTTAAGAAGTTTTCTCCTTTATACAAAGACAGGACATGTATCAGTGTCAAATCAAATGAGCAACATTTTTGACGGTATATTTTCATGGTTGAAAGTGCTTAGAAATGTTTAATTGATTCTGATATTTCCAGAATAGTAGGAAACAAAATTTAAAATAAAATAACTGCATTTATATTTGATTTCCTTAACTCCTTTGGGGCTGTTAAAATTTTTACTCTTATTTGTTTTATTTAGGGTAGTTAGGAACAGATAGAGTAGTTAAAATCTTACCTGTGTTGAATCTCACATGCTTTTTGTTTTTCTGTTCTGGCTCTTTGGCAGATGTTCTTTCGCTGTGGCATATGTTAAAAGTGATCATTATTGTACTATTAGTATGAAAGACATTTAGCAAGTGTTCTAAATGCTTTACTTTTGAGTCCCTATCTGATATAGGATCTCACTATGTAGCCCAGCTGATCCGAAACCTAGTATGTGGACCATGTAAGCCTTGAACTTACAGAGATATGCCTGCATTCTGCCTCCTGAGTTCTGAGATTAAAGCCTTTTGGCAAAACTCTGGAAGTTAACTCAGATTTTTCTCTGTTTGAGCAATGAGTTATACATCATAGGCTTTAAGAAGAAATTTTAAATTCTCTAAAATTGAACGAATTTAAAATATTCCATGCTAGATCTTTGGTATACAAAGAACGACATACTCAGAAAGAAATCAGTAGCTATAAGTACCTACATTAAAAAGAGTCAGAACGATCTCAAATAACTTAATGATGCATCTTAGGGCTTCAGTGAAATGAGAACCCAGCAAAGACAAATTAGTACGTGGAATGAGACATGAGGGCAGAAATTAATGATCACACACAGAGGGGCTAGGGGTTCTTCCACACACTTTGTTCCCATGGCTGCAGTAACTGCTGACTTTGTTTAAGTGCGCTCAATGCACTTAATGCTCCTGTTTAATTCCTTTCCCACACCCTAGAGCACCATGGTCCCTTCACTATCAGGAAACTTTTTAGGTATTTCGCTGAGTCTCATACTCCCTCCCAAGAGGTTGGTGGGTAGAACATGAAACTGATTCATAGCTCTAAGCACTGAATGGCCAACACTCTCGAAAGCCACCACATTTTTGGTGCTTTAAAGCTGCTTTTTGATAGTCTATTCACAAGTATATGATGAAGCTGTCAAATGGCTATTTTTATGCTCAACAAGCATTTCTGTAATGCT